GGCACACACGCCCCGTTTCGCTACGACGCACGAAGTTATTTCGGCCCGAATTAGCCGCTCGCCAATGTAAAAGCGATAATTAACGCGTTCCGCGGGCGTTCCCGGTTGTTAAGGATGTTGCCGATAAATTATTAGCGCACTCGTATAACGCTCACGTGACTTAGCGCGACGACGAAAGAGCGAGGCTTATTAAAGGTGCCTTTTCATGCAGCGAATTTTTCGCTGCGAATGATTTTTAGCGAATAGCGAATAATTCGTTGTGAAGTAGCAAATAATTCGCCGCGAGTTGTTTGTAAGCGTCGCATCTGTGTAGTTGCGTGTCAACAGTACTAGAATATGCTAAAATATTTTTTAGACATACATGGTTTTGGGCTTTGAAGTGCTTTTAAATATATTGTAGATTAAATCATTAATTAATAACAAAATTTTTTAAAATCCTTTTTAATGGAGGACGACTCAGTTATAAACTGGATTACTTGGTATAACCAACAAATGCAGTGGTTATTTAATTATGTGCAAGTAAATCATTACTATCAAATGAAAAAGGAAAGTTGTTGCAGTTACAGCTTTACTTTTACATATGAAAAGAAAAAGATATACTAAAAAGAAACATTGGGTAGCACCTATTTTTCAAGAAAGAAAAGTACATGGATTCATTCATGCTGTGCTACCTAAACTTATTCTAGAAGATTTGAGGTTTCATAATTACATACGAATGTCTGCAACTCAATTTGAAAATTTGACACTTTTAATTGGAGCAGATATATTTAAGCAACATCACATTAGGGAACCTATAGATGTTGCTGAGCGTTTATTAATGACATTAAGGTAAGCTTGCTTACAAATGCACATTTATTTGCAAATTCTTATCATTTAATAATTTTTTATTGTAAAGTATTGTGCATTTTAAAATATAAACCTGGTTTAGGTATCTTGCTTCTGGCGATTCTATTTCTTCGATATGTTACCAGTATTTAGTTGGTCTGACTACTGCTGCAAACATTATCTCAGAAACATGTCAAGCTTTATGGAACAATTTATCATCTATAGTATTACCTGCAGATTTGAGTGAAGACAAATGGCTAACAGTAGCAAATAATTTCGCGGATAAATGGAACTTTCCACACTGTATAGGTGCCATCGACGGTAAACATATAATTATTCAAGTAAGATAAATTATTTATTCACGATATATAGAATAATATTTATACATATAAATTTTTACAAATTCTGAAAGTATTTTATTCCTTTTAAGTGTCCAGCCAAAGCAGGATCGTCTTACTACAATTATAAAGGAAGTCATAGTGTGGTTCTTCTGGCTATATGTGATGCCAATTATATTTTTCAATTTGTTGATATTGGAGCTTATGGGCGAAGGAGCGATGGAGGAATCTTTAAGGAAAGCGTATTTGGTCAGAAATTTGAAAATAATGAAATGAAGCTACCAAAGCCTGCACCAATTTCTGAAAATGGAGACAATCTGCCATATTGTTTAGTGGGAGATGAAGCTTTCCCACTAAAAACGTATTTATTAAGACCGTACCCGGGCAAACAAAATACTGAATACGAAAAACGCGTATTCAATTATCGATTATCAAGGGCTAGAAGAACAATTGAAAATAGTTTTGGTATTCTAGCAAATAGGTGGCGGATTTTTAGAAAACCTATTATTCTAAGTGTTGATAATACAATGAAAATTGTGCAAGCAACCGTATGCCTCCACAATTGGTTACGCATGGCAGACCTTAATGAAGAAGAAAATATTCAATATGTAACACCAGAATTAATTGACAGACAGAACGAAAACGGTTTCGTACCAGGAAGTTGGAGAGCAGATATGGAGACCTTAAGTGGCATGGCAGATATAACTCGCTCAGGAAACAACTCCAGTACTCGACAAGCAGCAGAAGTCCGAGAAAAATTTCTTTATTATTTTAACAACGATGGAGCTGTAGATTGGCAATATGCTTACATGTAACTAGATTAAAAAGCGATCATACTGTAAAAATATACAATATACTGAAATGTTCAATTCTAAAAAATATTTAAAATAAAAATATATACTGACATGTGTAAATAAATTAAAAAACAGTCATGTAATTGTAAAATTAAATTTTTTTATTGTAAATTATATAAAAAATATTTTGCTTATGAGAAAATAAAATGTACTACAAGGTTTTGAGAACGGGTATATATTTCTAAAGATATATATTTCTACAGGTATATATTTCTAAATTTTACACGTATGAGTTTTTCCTATAAGTGTTGTTATATATAGATAAACTTAAAAAAACCAATTGTTTGCTTACATAAAATTATCTTCATTTTCAATTTTAAAAAGAAGTTCATACATTTTAAACATTGCCATATTTACTTTTTTCAGAGGTAACTTTCGCAATTTTCTATCCATTGTTAAACAAAAATTACAAATTTCATCCTTCTCTTTTATTTCAGGCATGGGTAAGAGCGGTTGTTGTAAGATTTGAGGAGGAGGAATAGGTTCATTCAACGCTTTTGCAATTCTTTCAATTGGATCATCGGCTTTCCGTTTCTTGTTGCCTAAAAAAAAGTTATTGTTATATAAGTCAATTTTATAGATGCATTTGTTTTAATTATTTGTTTATAATTAATTGAAATTTTTCAATATTTTTATAACAAAATATACAAACCTTTATTTAATTCATTATCCTCAGAAAAATTAGAGAGGTTACCGAGTTCAGAATGTAGATCATCGTTGAAGGAAGTGTCTTCTGGTGTAGGTGTAGGTAGCGTTAAATTACTGACTGTGCTACATTGCAAAATATAATAGTTGTATATATTGTTAGAACTGCTTTTTTATTTTCAAACTATTAATTATTTACTTACTTTTTAATTCCAAGATCAAAAGTATCTTTTAAAAAGCTCATTTGCTCCATAAATCGCCATGGTTTGCTTTTTTTTGCAGCTTGTTCACTTTTGCCTTTTTCTTTCATTAGATATGTTCGATATGTATCGTATAAGTTCTTCCATTTTGATTTTAATGCTGCGATAGTGTATTGCTCTAAAACAAAGTTCACAATTAATTTTTTTTAATAATAAACTAACAAGGGAACCTCGCGAAGTGGAAAATTCTGATTTTAATATAACTTTCCACACATGTAGGGGGAGTAAAAAGATGAATTTAGATATTTTTTGTAG